TTTTGAGTCTTGTTACAGTTTTAGGTCATATTAGCTGGTTTATTAGAGAGTTAGACTAAGTCATATCAGTGGTGGTGCATCCTATAGTCTCCTGTATGACATATCATTGGGTAAGGATGAAGCTTTCTCACAATCTTTTTCCCCCATTGTATATTTGCTACAAAGAAGCTGATGTAGATTAAGAAGGGCAGAATTAGGGGATCAGAAATCAAAAGAAGGGATGAGAAATCAGAAGAAAAGGGAGAACTTGCCTGAATTAGTATTTGTATTCCATATTCAACAAATTAACAGTTTACAACAGTTCAAAATAAGCCCAGTTCTGTCTCATCAAACAAAACCATGGCAGCCAATGTTTCACTGCTATTTTGGTAGCAAAGCTTTGACTGGCAAACTTCAGTAACCATACCAAAAATGCATGCTTCAACTGAGTCTGCCCGATAAGGTACTTGTTTATGTCTGTATGTTGCATTAAAACACTATCAGGACTAACTATTGCTGGTCCCAAGTACATTATCACCAAGCCATTATAAAAAAAAAAAGAACTCCCAAATGCAGAACCCTCAAAGCCCAATCAACTTGCCTCGTGATCAGAACATCTTACTCGTACATGTGGCAGTTGGACATATCAAATACAAATAATTACTAGCATACCATTACGAGAAATCAGTCAGGTATCCATTCCAATTCTAAACTCACTAATAAAACGATCCCCTTCAACATCTATATGAAAGAAAAAAATCCCCGTGACAAAATATAACCAATGATGAGAAAAAAGACAATACATTAAAAAAAAAACAAGAAATTATTGTTTTGCATCTGTAAAGAATTTAAATGGTCATACAAAAAAAAAAGGGGAAAAATCAGTCAAGCTAACCCAGAAGTCCAAAAAACTAACAAAAATATGCTCACTATGACAAGATGAACCAAATATAGATGCTCAAGTCAAAATCAATAAAAAAGACAATACATAAAAAAAAAAAAAAAAAGAAATTATTGTTTCGCATAATATATATGGCCATAGAAAAAAAAAAGGGTAAAACTCAATCATGCTAACCCAGGGGTCCAGAAACTAACAAAATATGCTCACTATGGGAAGATGAACCCAACATAGATGCTTAACTCAAAATCATTTTCTTCAGAAACTGAAGCCTGTGGTCTACTGTTGACATCGGTAGAAACTCTACAGTTTGGATTGTTGAGAAATAGAATTGATCCCCATGTAACTTTATTACTGTAGGACGGAAAGGACTAGAAATCAGAGAATAGAAAGAGAAGAAGAATAAGGAGTGGAAGGGATTTACCTCATCCTTGCAAAGAATCGGAGAAGAAACACACAATTCTCCACAGAGAATCACTTTTTATTATATCACCTCTCTCTAATAAAAAATAGCTGGGATTACCATTATTTATAGGCCAAGTTTCCTACTAAAATAAAAATATTCTCCTACTAAAATTCTAGAAGAGTTTCATAATCAAACTCTCAAATTCCTATCCTACTAAAACTTTATAATAATTTCCTAGCTAAACTCTAACTAATACTCATAACCAAACAAATACTCATAAATCAAATAATAATAATAAAACTATAAATTACACTTCCCTTTGGACAAAAAATTCCTAGTCTTTCGCCTAGGCTTCCAAAGTCAATTGTGTTGGTCCAACCAACCAATGGGTACGCCATCATTTATATAAGCCAATAAAAACAGAGAAAGGAGAAGAAAAAAGATTATAAGGAAAACAATGTCCCAAACAAGGGGTTGGGACATTCCTCCAAAACCACCATCAATGGACTGAAGAACCAAACATAAAGAGAAGATGATGCAAGTAGGACCACGGGAAGTAGGACTGATGAGAGAACCAGAAGATTATGCCAAAGACCACATAAGCAATACGCAAATAAGCCTAAATGTTACAGTAACAGTAAAGAACAAAAAGTTGGGATGAGAAGTATGCCATTGAGCTATCAAATTTAATTCTAAGTCAGGCACCAACTGGTTTCTGTTTTCTACCAACACATTAAGATGTTCCAATAGTTACATACACCTAGTGACAACTTAATATTATGAGATTCAACTGAATAATCTGTGCCACAGTAACTATCTCGCACAGTCCCACATCCGCTGACTCAATACTAAACAATTTCTCTATCCATACAGCATACAAGCAATTTCTACTCACTACAATTTCGCTCAAAAATCATTGTGCGCTTATTGGATTTCTTATTTCAACGCAGTTTCCCTTTCTTAGCATAAAAAGTACTTGGCGTGAATCTTTAAATTCAAGAAATACTAGAATTTATTATAACAATTGAAAAGTGATGAGAAAATTCAATGATGACTCACAGGACTAACGATGATACTGAACTGATGCACTTCACCATCCCTCAGTACTCTAACTTCAGCAGATTCATTGGGTTTCTTCATAGAAACTAGATGATCAAATGTTATCCTCTCTCGGTTTCGAAAAGGAACTGCAAGATAGGAAAAAAAAACCCGTGGAATTTAGGGAAAACAAAGGCCAATTAACTTTTGTAATAATGAACGTTCCTATACACAGCATATGAATATAGGAGCGAGCATAAAGGTAGCCAGTTAGTGCAAAGAATGCAAAAATAGTCTGTATCAAAACTATTACTCCCGTACCACAAATTAATGGGGCCTATAGTTGGACGTCAATCTTTCATTCAAATAATATAAAACCACAAACCTCTCAAACAAAAAGCAACAAAGCTTCCCACACAAAATCATGTCAGTCAAAAAAAAAAAAGGAAAAAGATTGACCTCAGTGCCAACCTAAGAAGCACGGATACGGGTACAGGAAAGGGTATGACACGATACGGATATGAAGATATAACAAATCTTAACAAGTAGGATACAGATAAATAATACTAGGATTATGAATAATACTATTTTATATATATAATACTAGGAATATGAAGAATCAAGAGATAAAACATGTCCCAAACTAACAATTTATTTTGTTGAGATAGAGGTTGATTAATGGTGTTTTGAATCCAATGTCCTATTTAATTCTAAAGTTGAACATGTATCACCGTTTGAAAGTTCTCAACCTTTACTGAGCCTTTAATTGCAATAGCTTCATTGATTGACATTAGCTATAAAAGTCATTATTTGAGCTAAACAAATTGTAAAAAGTTAACAAATTTTGTGACATATATGATACACGTCCAAATGACCATTTTGGAACAAAGAATTCCTATTTGTATGATTCGTGTTTTCTACACAACCCACTTCACTACAAATGTATCCACTATGGAGATACACGTATCCGAGGTCTATCCAATAAGTGTCCAACAAAGATAAATATTTTATTAATTATTGGATACATGGGAAAAGTATCCTATACGTATCAGCGAGTATCCGACGAGTATCGATATCCAATACATATCGAATACGGATACGTCACCCCAATCGCAATATCAATGTTTCATAAGTGCCAACTAAGTGTCAAGACTTCTTTGTATAAGGTGGGACTCCACATTGTTTCTTGAAAAACTGGCTGTTTACCATGAATTACTGGTTCAGTACTCCATCCCTCGTTTTAGACCCGACTCAATCTGACAATCAGCATACTTTACTTGAGCAGCCAAACCAATTTTCTTTCCCATTGATTGCTTAAAGTTCATAAAATGTCTTAGTTAGCAATCATTCTTGTGAAACTTTACAAGCATCATCTAACAATAACTTAGGAAAAGGAATAAAAGAAAGTGTACCTGTTCCATCGTTTGCAATGGGCACACCATCAAATGCGAGAACAACATCATCTTTCTTTAGGACCCTATATGCATGAGAAAGGGGGTTAATTTTGCTCACAAGCACCCCTGTCAAGTCAGGCTGCATTCGGAAGTGTTCGCGAAGTTGAACATTTTCGGTAGGTTGGCATGATAAACCCAGAGAGCAGAATCCAACATATTTTCCTCTTTCTTCCAAACCAGATATGAAATGTTGTATTACAGGGACAGGAATTATGTAACTGCAGCATCAAACATATCAGGAAAAAAAATCCAGCCGAAAAAGGAAAAAAGACAGATAGCTGCAGTTATAAAAAAATATACTTTATGTCATGAAAACTTTATGTTTTTCCCTCTTAAAATGAATTTCACTACACCAGTTTGGGCCGAGTTGCACATAAGCCCCGTGCTGCGGAAATATGCAGATATCCCCAGTAAAGTGCAACCATGAGTTTTCTATTGAAACTAATTGGTGAACATCGAAGGTCGAATTTTTGATAGAGATAGAAATTATGGCATATAAATATCTTCATGAAACTTAATCTCCCACTTTCAAGAAAAATAATCTCTATCAATTTTTTTCTGAAGATTAAACATCCAGAGAGGTTTCCCAAGAGAGAGAGAAAATGAGCTGGAAAGAAAAATAGTATGAAGAATATTTTTGTCTTCTCAAATTGCACCGTTGCTCACACCAAATGTGTGAAGGGGGATTATCTTCTATTTCTAAAACACGTGGGAATTATATGCGACTTGGCCAAACCAACTGGAAGCAGGACGCAATTTACTAAAGATATTCACTGAATTACAGAAGATAATGGTAATAATTTAATTCCTAGCCCAAAACCATTAGGATGAACAAATGACCATATGTGAGTTCTTGAAGACTACCTTTAGAGATCTAGCTAAGTTACATCGTTCTAGTAGTGTATGTGGATGATGTTGTGACTAATGGAAATAATTTTGTGGGTAATGCTAAGTTGAAAGATTTTCTGCGGCATCGTTTTCTTACCAACGATTTTGGCAGACTTAGATGCTTGCTGGTTATCGACATTGCTAGGTCTAAGAAGGGTATTAGCTTGTCTCGGAGGAAATTTGCACTTGCTATATTAGAAGAGACATGTTCATTAGGTTCTGACCGAAGCTTATGTACCCATGGATCGAAATCATAAACTTCTGGTGGATGAAGGTGAATTATTTGGAGATCCTAATGGATGCCACAGTTTGAATGGGGAGCACAATGAGTGTCATGAGCCCGTGTGTGGCATCTCCTACAGTACCAGGTTAGGATGTTGTTATCCTACTTTTCGACATCTTAGCTCCTGCATTTTGGTAGTGATAGACAACTAATAGACATCTTAGTGTGGGAGATTTTACGCATGTCTATTGGACTGGTTCCCCTCTAATTAATGGTCAACTACTACATATTGTACTTTTCTCCAAGGTAGAAGAGTGAGAAACAAACTATGGTAGCATGATCTACTACAAATGCTGAGTATAAGACAATTGGACATGTTGCAACTGAATTATCGAGGCTGCATCACTTCCCCTTAGAGAGTGGCTTCCCAGCTCAAACCTCAACCTATTCTTCAATTGTTTTCTGATAATATGGCAACACTTCACATAATTCCTAATCCAGCATTTCATAAAAGGATTAAACATATCGAAGTTGATTGCCCTTTCATTTGGTACAAGATCTTAAGGGTATATATTACTACACCATTTGTGATATATGAGATCAATTCGCAGAAATGTTAAGTAAGGTGCTAAGTTGAACTTGTTTAACAGTTATCTGATCCAAGCTTAAAATATTAACATATAGTCCATCTTTATAGGGAGGGTTCAAAGTACAGTATTATCTCATATCATAATAGATACATCCCTCAAGTTGATTCCGGTATTTCTTGTATCATACCAATATAATTATGCATGAGTTGACAATAAGCGGCACGGTTAATTATTTTTCTCCTCTCAACAGTTATTCTATAATTCTCTCTCTATCAACAAATCCTAAAACTTCACATTTAAAATTGGAGCAAAGGGATAGCTTTGACCCGCAAAGCAGCCTGTTTTTTCAGGTCTTTTGTTTGGTTGAAGAGGCTTTATGTGGTCAACTATATCAGGGTCATATTTGGGCTACTATGCATGGGAACAAATTTTTGGACTCATGGTCATACAAGAAATGTATACTAGTATATTTCACTCAATGCACACCAGACATGTCCATTCCTATTCCTATTGTTTATACGAATGTTGTCATATACGTGTATGGTGTTCATTTGCATGCTTCTTAGATGGTACCAATTGGTGCAAGACCAGATAACACAAAAGAGAATAAAAAAAGAAGAGAATTTAAAGAAAGAGAATGGGGGAGAGGAACTTTATAGCCTGTATCAGTAATCAAAATGCCAAAATCTGAGTCTTCCATTACATAAGCCTACACTTTTTGCGATAGGAAACACTATATTTATCAATGAACAAGAAACCCATTCAAAGGCGGACAGTCGTCCAACCCAATGGCAGGTGAAAACAATCTTCATACAAACACAAGTATGGGAAATGACCACTCCACTTTCCACACGAGGCTGTCCAGCTTGCACTAATACAAAAAAGGGATATACTCAACAAACTCTTCAGACACCCAAGGACTAAAGGAAGCCAAGAAATACAAGCAGTCCCCAAACCCTTCAACCTCCTCACGTTGGTCCAGATCCTTGAATTCTTCTCCAGCCAAATGACCCAAATAGTAGCCAAAAAGCATAGCGCCCAAGGGTCTTCTTCTTCTATTTCCATTTGGACACCATGTATCCAAACAAATCACAGATGACATGGATTTTGGTGCCACCCAATAAAGTCCCACAAAATCAAATAGCTTATTCCACAATGAAATCACGAGGCATGCAAAAATAAATCATCCCTGCTCTCATTGTAGTTTTCACACATTACACACGATTGCGAGAGAAGACAATTCTTAGGTCTCCTCCTTTGGAGCATGTCACTAGTTTCAATAAAAGAATCAAAATTTCGTTTTTCTCCCATCAAAACGTCTTGAAACGTTTCCGTTTCCATGTCCACCAAAACGAATCAATGATTGAATATCAAAACCGAAACAACCAAAGTTTCAGAAATAAATTTTCAAATATTTGCGAGACATTTTCGCTTTCGAGTGAATTGAAACTATTCACCTCAACGAAATTTAGATCCATTACCATGAGCAATCAACTATGCATATATTTGCACATTTAAAGGCACTTTGGCTTTTTGAATCTTAACGGATTAAAGGAGCAAAGGGAGTGAAAAATCACCAATTAAAGACTCAAAGAAAGATTTACAAGTGAACACTTTTCCCCACTTTCTCAATAACAAGTTCCAAAGAAAAATGTAGACATTAGGTGAGCACCCATGACCCATCTTATCTTTTCCCAATTTTAAACATATGTATATATAAGTATTATGCAAGATGTATTAAATATATTTTAAATATATAGACATGGAAATTGAATTAAAGCTCACCCAATATTCTCTGCACCTGAGAGGTTTTGAAAAGCTACACCTGCTACCTTGTCCCCCATGATTGCTGGGCCTCCGCTATTCCCCGGATTTATGGCTGCATCAATCTGTATTGCCAAGAGTTGGGTTGCACCATGAACGTACTGCGTAGGTTCAACCCTAGACACAACACCTTTAGTAACAGATATGTTGTCCCCTCCTAGTAGTCAATCAAAAAAATTCTTTAGCTAAAATAGTAACAAATATTATTTTTTTAACTAAAAAACTATGAAGTATAGATACTATCAAGAAAGTAACGTATTAGTGTTGAACACCAATACTTTTCGGACACTGTCGGACATATGTTTCATACTCTTTTATCCATGTCCATAATTAAATGATAAAATTTAATTTCGAACACGTGTTCGACCCTTTCTTTGGTGATGTGTCCAACACTTTTTTAGTCCACACCTATAACTAAACAATACGCATGTGTTGATAAGTGATTAAAAAATTAAAATTTTGGCAAAAAGAATTTTTTTATAACAGAACTTATAATTACCAAGACTACATATGTTAAAGTCGTACTCAAAATATAATAATAAAAGCAAAAGATGCATAAAAATTTAAAAAGAGAAATTGAGAAAACAATAACAATCATTTAAATTATATGTATTAGATACACGTCTAAAAATAATTGATAATTATTGACTATTCTGATTTTTTAGTCTAAAAATTCACACTAGAGCTAGATATAACAATTACTAATCATAAAGTACTAAATTCCTTATGAATAATATATCATTATCACTATATTTTTGTGATAAATTATATATTTTTATACATAAAATACAATTATCTATAGTATATCCTCAACGTGTCTATGTTCTAATTTTTTTTTTAAATGTCGAGTCTACATGTGCGTGTCATGTCAAATCTATGTTCCGTGTCCATGTCCATGCTTCTTAGCTAAAAACACATTCTCAAAAATGCCCCAGAAAGAAGAAATTATCCACGTCTCTCGATAATGACTTTTAGCACCAAATTGTACGCCTTTTTTTTTTTTTTGGAGAATACAACATTTTCTTTTATGGATGTAGACAATGGAATGTTAGACCTACTTAGCTCCTATTAGTAGGCCGCCAAGCTTAAACTTGATTATATATCGATGTAATAGCTTCATTTTAATTAGGGAATGAAAATAATTTTGTTTAAGATGGATGACGTCCTTTTTTAGGTTCAAGTGCCTAATTTGTGATGCTATAACTTAGGAAGTGATCCCTAGATGAATTCCTCTAGTCTTCCTCTTCTCTTTAATCTCTAAAAATAAGTTTAGGCACTACACATTCTTCCACCAAAGTGTAAGCCTAACCATCCAAAACTCACCAAAAAAGAGTCATATGGTTGTTCCTAAGTATTATTCACAGCACTCAAAACAGCCAACAATTGTCTCTCTTTATTTATGGTGAAAGGAAATTTTGAGCTTATAGGTAGGATATGAAATAGAGAGTTTAGAGGTAGTTTAACACAAAGTAAAAAGCCGCCCTATTGAAGGAGGAAGGAAGGTTTCATATTTCACTTAAGTTATTTTTCATTTTTTATTGACAGAGTAGATTTCAACTTCACGTATGTTGTTGCTTTCTTTCAGTCCTCCCACCACATTGAGAGGTCTATGTCACCTTCCTAGATTGGATTTCCCTTTGTTTTAAGCTTTGGAACTGTCACCTTTTCCTGATCTCTTTTGGAAGCACTGCAGCACAATTCACTCTACGTTTGTGCAAAAAAGTTAACATATATTGAGCACCAAAAGACCCGTTTTTAAACTGTCCAACACCAATTGGAGTGTCATAGCTTTTAGGGTGAGAGTGTTCTTCCACAATTTCCATGCACCAAGCCCCTTCCATCCTTAAGCCTTGAAAAAATAAACAATGAGGTAAGGAAAAAATATGCAAGATAATTGTTTCAGCTCAGAAGCTCTATGGACGCATTTAGCACATTGTTTGGCAATGCTAAACAACAAAAGATCGTACATCAAATTTAGGCTCTTTTCTTTTTCCAACAATTAAATTTAGGATTCTCATATGTGTGGGTTGCTCTAGATAGAGCTGAAAGGAGACCAACACTCACAGGCTTCCTAAATTTAGTCCAGACCAGAACATGATTTGATCATGGTAAAAAGTCCCAAAGTAGCTAAGGAATCAGGTACCCACTGAGTCCCTTTGTTATCTACCTTTAGAACAAAAACATTCCATAGAAAATAAAGCTACAAAGAAGTAAAAGCAAAAGAGAAACAAAAGATAACATACATAGGTAAGGCAACCCTCTTTCTAGCTTTTTATATCTCCTATAAATTACCCATGCTCCTCTGTCCAAACAATGTATTGGGGTCAAAAGATAACCCACAAAATTCCAACTAAACACAATCATTAACTGACTTCCATGCAAGTAGGAGGTAACTAGCAATGGCTTATTCACAAGGTGCACGAGAGGTTATAGCAGTCAAAGACCTATGATTTGTTTTCTTTGTTATAAGTTCCTTTTAATCAGTATTTAACTTTTGCAAATAAATCAGTCGAATGGCAAAAACTTTAGGTACTATTTGGTAAATTTTTTATTAAGTACCCTTTTTAAGAAAAAACGCAATTCTGTCAAAAAAGTAATAGCATACCTAATTACTATTAAGTCATTTAGTATATAAATAATACACTTACTATACTTTATGATATACTAAAGTGCCTTGGACATTGCTATCCTTTTGAATATGATTAGAAAAGAATGAGATAGGGGCAGATTGTTTTTGGCTTTTTTTTTTTTTTTTTTTTGGGGGGGGGGGGGGGGGGGCAGGGAAACTTAAAAGGATGCCAAAAAGCATATTTTTTCTCATATGCACTCCACCTTTTCACAATTATATTCAAAAATTATTTCATTTCTCTCAAGCAAAATACCGCAAAAAATAGCCATCACCGCACATCCCCACAAAGATATAGCTGGTTTATTCCTTCTAAGACTGCAAAATTCAATTTCAAGCATCGCTCTACAAGACTCCGGCACAATCCAACAAATCTCTACCAAAACAGACAATCTACTATCAAGAGTAAACAAACGGGCAATGAAGAAAGAAATGATCAAGACTGTCCTCATTTCTTTCACACATAATGCACCTCTGAGGAAGCAAAGATAGATAAGGTCTCTGCCAATAAGTATGGTTTCTATTTGGGACTAACATAAATTAGCATGAAATTCATCTATTAAAGGTTATCAGATTATTTATGTGACAGATTGCAGATAATTTCCTAAGACATCTGTTACTTCCAGAATCAAACTATGGATACAACCCTTATGGTTGTGGTTGTCTATTATCTAAGTACTTTTGTGTTAATAGTAAGAAACGTGGTAGAAATAGAATTAATACTAATTTTGGCGACATGAACACATATAATGAATATTATTGCAGCAATGGATGGAGATACATATGGCGCATTCTCAATTCCCACATTTATCATGAAAATTAAAAAAAAATGGCATTTAACCACTATGCAACAAAAATATTAAAACCTGCCTATCCTAACTGCACTTTCAAGATTGAGAAAGAGCACCAATGGTCAAGATTAACATGACCAAGACGTGGGGCAAAAAATGATGGCCTACGCTAAATTAAAATTTGGACCTTCAGTAAAAATCCAGACATAAATTTGAAGTTCATACTAAATGAAATACTTGATAAGGATTCAAACAACCAGGCAGAACATTTTTTATTCTGCATCCTGTAGGGAAAGCATGGAAGGTGGACAAGTAATAAAAAAAAGAACTTTTTTTGGCCCCAAGCAGCATTCATAGGCATGTATGAACAACCAATGACTAAGGGACTAGAAAAACAAAGGACATAGTCCAAAAAGAGTTTGCCAAAGTGTGTTATTGTGGATAGACGATCCTTGAGCACTTGGCATGTGAAAGTTTTCAAGTAGCATAACCCACCATTAAGTAATAGCTGTCGAGAGAAGTTTGTCATTATATGTTCCATATGTGATGTAAAACACTAATTTTGGGATTTATAAAAATAAAATCAAATCAAAGCAATACCCTATTCACTTTTTATTTCTACTTAGCATCATACAACAATATATCATGGCAATCTCAGTATAACTTTGAAGCAAAATTAGCATCATACAAAAATATAAGTTGATAATCTATTAATTTATCATATATTCTTTCAAATATATAAGGCCAATTCTACTATGAATTATATGTATCTTATTGCATTACCTTGGGGATAACCAACGACAGCAACAGCTTCCTGCAAAAATGGAATGTCACCAAGCTCCAAAAAATGCATGCCCTCCCAAAATTCTTCACGTTCAACAACCAATATAGCCAAGTCACATTCGTGACCAACAGCTTGGACATTGGCTCTATACTTGGTCGGAGAACCGTGCTTTCTTACAAGTACAAAAGTATGATCAGCCACCACATGAGCATTTGTCAAAATCCTCTTCCCAGGAATAATAAATCCTATAGGAAAATTGTGGAGATATTAGGTTAAAAGAGCAACGTGGAACTGTGAAAGAGTGCTAAAATATATGCAGTAATAGCGTAGAGTTGACATATCCCAAAATCAGACAAGATAAATTTATTGAGCTCTAATATATGGGCATAATGAGGAGCCTAAAGTATGTGAATCGTAAATTTCTCATGTGTATGGTATTACAATTTTGTTGCTTGTTTTCATCTTTTCTTAAGCAGCTATAGTTTTCAGGGACCCACAACAGCCTCATAAATCCACACTACCAAAAGGGCTTTAAAGACTTGCATCCAAACAATTGTAATTTGCAAGTCAAGGTTATATTCTTATTCAAGATTTAACAGATTAATTTTACTGCTAAAAGAGAAGCAACTTTTGAGAATGTCTACAACTAAATCCGCCAAGTGTTCTCTCTAAATTCCATGCGCCTTTAATAATCTTTCTTTCCTATCGCCTAATCTAGCAACTCCTCTTTCTTACCTTCCTTTTACCCCTTTTATTGAAATTGGGTCTAGCCAATAAATATCCGGCCTTTCCCTCTGATCCCTGGCCTCGGTGGATTGAGCAACTAATTGACCTAACTTCCTGCCTGCCCGCTACCCTAACTTCCTTGTAGTAAGAGCATTACTACAAGGAATACGTGCACTAAAAGACACATGCAATACTTATCCATTGTGTAAGAGAGCTTGTATCACACATCGAATAATTAGGACCACCCAAGGTTAGTTTATATGCTTAAGAGGTCTCCACTCATTGCCAATTAGTTTTGGGTTGGATACTCTAATATGGTATCGAAGCTAGGCCTTAGACGGCCAATGGGTCAAATCTCTCAACCCTTTAAATGTTCCGATATGCATGCTTGTTTGCTTGTTTATTAACCCCAGGTGCAAGCTTGGTCCCATGTGAGGGAGGGTAGAAGAGAGTTTATTTCCCGCATCGAATGATTAGAAGTTTGGAACTACCCAAGGTTGATTTATATGCTTAGGGCGCCTATGCCAATTAGTTTTGGGTTGGATTCTCTATCATAGGGGACAATTAACGCATACGATTGTTTGTCAATGGTCATGTGTTGACAATAACGGCCACATCTTTGCATACAAAATCTTAAACTAAGGAGAACTCTAGAAGTGATGAAACCCTCCTCACTCCCAACACAAATTTTGAAATTAAAGGCAATTTTGGTTCCTAGGCCAAAACTTTAGCCTAAAAAAGGGCCACATGGAGCATCCTAAGCCAAAACCTTACCTTGAAAAAGGCCCACATGAAACTCATGATATATTTTTTCCTGGAAACTTGCTTTGGGGTATTTTCAATCATTTTCTATCTTATGAATTTTCTTATTTTAGATTCAAGGATATTTTGGCAATGTTACATTTGTTGAACAAGGGTTGTAGGCTTTTTAGGCCATGAGCTTAGTTCGTATAATATTGTTTTGGAGTTGGTTTTTATGATTTTTCTTTGTCACAGTCATTACTAACCATTTAGAGACTTGCTGTCCTAGTATAAAAGTAAAATTTGTAAAATATGTAGATAGCCTTGTGATGCTTTCAATTGGATATAGATCAAGTACTTGAATATGTTTCCTACAACAATCATCGAGTTTATCTGCTGCAGTTGTCATTGATCGAGAAACCAAAAGGAACTTTGCCTTTTTTGGTTGTCTAATGTAATTCCAATCCTGATTGCCTTCTTTTTAAGGGTAACATTTAGATTGTATTAAGGGACCTTTTTATTTCAAAAGAAAGAACATACATACCAAATAGAAGCGGCATCCCCCTATAAAACAAATTGGGAGCATGGAAAAACCAGCCCAGCTACCCTACAAGAAAATTTGAAATCAATAGGAGAAAGAGCAAGATTTGTACCCAATTCTCAGTTGCTAAAGGAGCACTACAGACAAGAACGAAGGACAAACAAGCAACACCAAGCAGCATTAGAACCAACAACGTAGCATTTGTTCAAAATGTTGAGGCCATTTCGAGACGTACAACAATTTTCTTGTATATTTCATGCTTTCAAACAAAGAAAGTTTTCTATAATGCTTGGAAATTTTTTTCCTTTCAGTTTCCTTTCATTCACTTCGCATCCTACCACTTTCATTTTCTAATCAAATGGTCGGTTAGGGAAACAGCCGCAAAGGACAAAGCAAACATGAAGAAGAAGAAGAAGAATTTAATATATCCTAATCAAGTAACCAAACATGAAGTAACTTAACAAAGTAAAGAAGCAAAGTTACATTTTACAATGCTATTTATAACTTTGATAGCTAAAGAAACATTGAGTTCTGTTATGTACATATTTTTAATATATTTGAGGTAGTTATTAGGGAGTTATTTTAGTAAGTGGGTTAGTGTTAGAGTATTTTGTGTGCACTTTCCTAGCTAGTTACTAAGATAGTAGAGTCATGGGTCAAGTTAGTTATTAAAGTAGTTTTATTATCTTATATTTAAATGTCTTCCTATCAATAAAATGGATATGTGATGAATATTATATTAAACTTTCTTCTGAAGTTTTGGAGATAAATTCTTCTCAAATTGAACCATTGAAGGTGGGTTTTCTTCTCTCAATTCTATTTTTTATTTTATTTTCTAAATTCTTCAAAGTGTGCATGTAACAGGTTCATATGGTAGGCTTCTGGTGTTGTTTCCTATTGAATACTTATGGCTTCTTTCTAATAGTTTTTGGACAATGTCGATTGGATGATTTGTTTTCCATCGACAGCTAAAGAAACATTGGGTTCATAGGGTAGGTTTCTGTTTGTGTTTTTTATTTTATGCTCATGGTTCCTTTCTAATAGTTTTTGGACGATTTGTTGTCCATTGTAAGGAAGAATATAAAATAGAATTCAAAATCAGTAAAAATCCAAACAGCAATTGCACCTGAAAAAGGTCAAAAAAATATTGAAATAGTTACCAGAACCCGTAGTTTCGCGCTGGGACTTGTTCTGCCAGGGAAGGAAGTAATTGGGGCTGCTGGACACAGTGAAAATCTTAACCACCGAGTCCAGAGCCAGCTCTATAGCCGAATGCGCATCGACCACAGCCTCAGTAGTTGTTGTCCGAGCACGCAGTGGCTGGTCAGCATCATCGTCCGACTCTGCTTCTAAATGGCGGTCAAAACCAATAGTATCAGCGGCGGCAGAGAAGGTGGGGGTGTTGTTACGCCTGCAATTAGTATCAAGACGGTCCGATGTCGTGGAGAAGAATGCTCCGATGGCGACACAAGTATTGACATTATTAGTGTCAGGGTTTTGAGGATATGACTGAGATAGGAGCGTTTTGCCGGCGTTTGGGAGAGAAACGAGGCCACAGCCACCCCAATCCCCGAGGATTTTAGGATATTGACGACGGTGGTGACGGATAGAGCAGCAGGAGAGCCTGCGAACCGCGCGGCTGGTTGTTCCCAGCATTTCTTCTCCTACTTCAATTTGCACAAGTAACAGAATTCGTTATTGTGCTCTAATGTCATCGTAGTAGTAAAAGAGAGACTGAGAGCGCGTGCGGGCGGCTGAGGCCGAAAACCCCAAACCCATTTTCAACCTTCTCCGATAAAATTCCAAACCCTTATCAAAGAAAGGAAAAATAAAAAACTTGATTCAATATAGTCTTTTTTAAAAAATAAAAAACTTGATTCAATATAGTCTTTTTTTTTAAATAAATTCAAATTTAAAGAAAAAAATTAAAATTCAAATGAGAATAAACATAAATTTAAAAAAAAATTAAATATAATCATTGAATCTTTAAAGGAGAGTTAAATCTTACCATTAAAAATTGTAGTATGAATTTTTGTATCCCTTGATTTAAATAAAAAAATGAGTTTCATTTAATTTGGTATAGATATGAGTCTAGCATTGGAGGAGGTTTTAGAAAATTTGTATACAAGTTTAAATTTGAATTTAAAAAATTGTAAGAATTGGAGATGCGTAATGCTAAGCACTACCAATTGGTGTTCTAGGCAAGCCCTACCTCGGATCCTACTTGCTGCCAACTTTGATCAATGTTGAGTCCATGGTTGCTGCAAGTAGGCATATGACAAGGCCAACACATTGTATGCCCCAATAATGCTATCACGCTGTGTTGAGCATGACACACACACCAATGTACATGGCTTATTAGAGTGCTTAGTTCATAAAAGGAAGACTGAGGCATGTAGCTACTCGTCGGTTTATAACAAGCTAGGCCAGCTAAGAATGGATTAGATCGAGTTATTAAAGCTTATCTTTTTCACTTAAAAATGCACTTTATGCAATCCACAAAAAAAAAAAAAAAACCAGACCGATTCCCTATGGTTGACAATTGAGTGTGGCATTACATACAATGAAGATATTATCGACAAAGATTTGAGCGATCCTAGTTGTTGTATATGGATGGGATTGTGACACCCCAAAATCCGGGAGTCTTTTCTCAATCCGTTAATCACTCATTGACTCATGGAATACCCGTGAATACCGTATAACCCAATACCATGTCATAACACCCCATTCACTGAGATTATAACAAAACAGAATTTGGAAAAAGTCTCCTTTGCACGGAAACTTTACCCAATACATAACCTGTGCATATATTAGATATGAAGGCTCGGAAGCGTTGAAGTTCAAATCAATTTTCTGGAAGAAGTACTAGTACCTTTGATAAGGAGTATGGGCACCTGAGCCCTCTAGATGCTAGGTACCGATACTTGTAACACTTGGTACCGATACTTGGGTCCACTGTCAGCGGAGTACCGATACGTATAAGTATAGGTATCGGTACTTGGGGTCCAGATTTCTCCAAATTTCTCAGATTTTAACTTTTAACCCTACAAACTCATACAACATATATTACATTCATTTGGTTACAAAAAAATATTGTCTAAGGATGTCTCATTACATGCCTTTGTCAAAATGTCAATAAAGAAATATAGTCACCTATTTGACTTTCTGAAATATCACTTTTATCACTTTGATCCTTTTGATTTTCATGCATTCTTCAATTCATCCAATCAAGTTATCAAGCATTAGAAACCAACTCAATCTCCCTATTTTACTTGATAAATCAATCAAATACAAAAGTATCATCAAAGAATAAAATCAATAGGATAAACAATAATTAGCTCAAAATAAATGCAATTCTAGCACTCAAAAACAAACATTATACACCAAAAATAAAAAATTAAAATTAAAAGGAAATTAAAAGAAATCTATTATACAATACAAATTATTTGAAATCAATTATTCAAGTCATGACGTAGATCCACCAACTCTTTGGATTCCACATCAGTCACAAATCCCTTCAAGAACGATTTTACGATTTTAATCGCCATCCATTAACTTTATAAACATTGCCATTCTTGAGATTTTGAATCTCAACAGTCCCATTGGGAAAAGCCTCCCGTTGACCTCCCATCAACCCGCGGAAATATCCGTGATTGTCGTATAACCCGACATCACGTCTATCACTTCCATGTAATCGGGATTACAACCCATGCGTGGATCCATGTTTCCTTTAATTCATTTAATCCCATTGAGGTTCAACATACTCCAATGTATCTCATTTAAGGTTCATTTGAGTCATTGGAACCAAATAACACATAGCCCAAAAGTATGGCAATGTATTCTTAAAATTTTAAATTTTTGAAAACCTTCCGGAAGGTTTTGCTCACTGGAAAAGTTCTTCTAGAAGGTTTTGTCTACTGGAATTCAATTTACACTAACCTTCCAGAAGGTTTTCTTCAACCTTCCGAAAGGTTTTGCCCAGAATTTTATGCCTATTCAATTTTTCATTTTCAATCCTCTCAAAATCTTTCCAAATCCATCCCAACACATGTATAATAATTATTTTCTACATCATACATGATTCATACAAGTTCTATTACAATTAATGCCAGATGATTACAAGCTCATTTACACAATTACATGCTCAAAATGGAATTTTACAATTATTTTACAAAAACTTGTCTCAAAAAGCCACAAACCGACTTTTCTTCACCCTCGAGGCCCCGAATGCGAGTCCTCTCTCAGTACGAACCTCACACTTGAAATATTTTTCGTATAGGGTGAGCCAACGCTCAGTAAAGTATTTCCTACAAGGGCTACTTCCTAACCTAAGTGCATATGCAATGTTCACATGTAACATTTAACAACAACAATCATTTCAACCAACACTTAAGCAAGTCAATGTTGAAATCTTACACCACATGCCATGAATTGAGATGATGCTCATTCAAGCAATTTATCCGAGCCTTTCCCGGGCCCACAACACATGCAATGTCAATGTGCATAAAATCGAGCTTTACTAGCTTCGACTATTTATGTTCACCCCATGCTATGCAATGAGCATCAAAATCGGGCTTTTCAAGACCCCCGCCATTTGTGTTACACACCCAATGGCTAACTAAAAATCTACAGGTCTTTCTTGGGGTGGGTATTTATGAACTTACATCAACGGTCACCCAACCGACACAGAATTCATGGACTTTCACTAACGGTTTCATGTACATCGACACATTTTATGGGCTCTTATACCAACAGAAGTGCGTATCCAAATACGGGGTCTCTCACCCGAAGGATAGTCTAACCTTTCTTGCTACCCCGACCCAATTTCTTTTCATGCAACCGTGCAACTCAGCCGAATATTTAATCCAACTTCCCCGAGTCCACCCATCATCCACCTACATGGTGTTTGATGCTAACCATACACCCACACCCATAAAATGCGATGTTTACGTGCATATGCAATGTAATATATCATTGCTAATTCAACATCATGCCCATATGTAATAAATGCCACATGAACAAAATTAACTACATTCAAACAAATCTCATGGCAATTTATATCTGAAACATATAATCATCAAACTTTCTCTCAATGCTATATATCAATATATATCATTCTCAACAACAATTCACAAGCATGTTATAACATAAAATATGCTAACAATACACTTAACTCCCATGACATAAAATGTACACATAACATGCCCACATAACAATCAATTTAATGGATCACATTTTATCAATTCACAAGTCTTTCAAGGTAAAATTCGTCTTACCCAATTTCAATACCCATTTCACCAATTCTATATCCATAGATAAGTGATACATATCTTTCTCAACCTACCCATTGCATATAATACCTAAGTTATAAAATAAACCCGAATAGGAAGGAACCCTACCTCTTGAAGCGTGAAAAACACTTTGGGAAAACTCCAAGACTTCAACTCGAGCTCTAATCCAACCCTTCCCAAAAACTCATTTTTCAACTTTCGGTGAAACTTGTCATTTTTGCTACTCCATAGCTTCCTAGATTGTAGAAAGAAATAAAGAATTTCTCTTTTTTCTCTCTTTTCTCTTCTCTAACGGGTGAACGGCTGAAGAATGGGGGAAAAATCTGATTTTTTCCCCTATTTATATTTTAGAATACTAGGCCCACAATGCGCCACACGACCCTCTTTTTTTCGGATCCATTTTCATCCCAAAATGATTAAATTTTATCTTGATTTAAGTTTAAAATATTTTTATTTTTATTTTTCTTAATTTATTTTTCAACTTTCTAAATTTTATTAGAAATTCTCTTTTTTTTGGTTCACCCGAGACTCGATAGCGCTAGTAAACGCGAAAAATTGACTATCTCAGAATTCAATGAAATTTGACATGGTAACTAGATTTTGCGAGACGAATCCAACGGTGAGATCCGTTTCGTCATTTGAGGTCTAAAAAAATTTAGATTTTCAACTCGTACTATAATGATAAAATTATCGTTTTGCCCTAATTTACAAAAGTTTAAATTTATCGGATTTTACAACTGGGTTTGACCACATTGACCTTAATTGACCAGGAAAAAGGAGGAGTCGTGAATTATATTACATAACCTTTTGAGAAGGTTCAAAGGTTTTCCTAACTATGTGCTTGTCATGGAAGACTTTCATTCTAGTAGGTCTCATTTCTCAATTTTTCCAATTCATTAAGCTAAAACTTTCTAGATTCCCCTGTCTTATCTACATCAAAGTTCATATGCACAATTGCCCAATACGCTATATGTTCAAGCTCAATAGGCAAGTGGCAGCATGGCTTCCCATAAACCAACAAATAAGGAGACATCCCAATGATTGTTTTAAAATTTGTTCAGTAAGCCCACAAGCCATTGGTTAGTCCTAAAGACCAATATTTATGATCCAGGTTCACCATTTTTTCTAAAATTTGTTTTATCTCCTTAATGGCAAGTTGACTTATCTATGGATGGTAAGGTGTACTCACTTTATGGGTAATGGCAAATTTTCATATCAAATTTCTAAAAAATCTATTACAAAAGTGAAGTCCACCATCACTAATAATGGCTCAAGATATCCCAAACCGCAAAAGGATGTATTCTTTTAAAAACTTGATCAACAAGCGATGATCATTTTTATGGCAAGGGATAGCCTCAACCCATT